TGTGTGTGTGTGTGTGTGTGTGTGTGTGTGGTAGACGTCCCTTTAATCTAACATGCCTGTTCATTTCTCCTGCCAGTGTTGAGCATCTCACATATAGGGACAGGGTGAAACGGCAAAGTGACAGCACTACGTCCTCTCCCTCTCTACTCTTTCTTGCATTGTCATTTGTCCTTTTTTCCCCCTTTCTTTCTCCGCCCCTGTCTGCCTGTATCTCTCGCTCTCTCTCTTTCTCTCTTTCTCCTCTTGGAAGAGAACGTCTCCTTGGTCACTGTGCATTTTCTCATCTGTTTTCTCTCAGTTTTCAGAGCTGAGGAGTGTGATGCTGACAGGCTGTTAGCATTGAAGAAAGCAGCTTCTATTTGATAGTTCTTTATGAACTTCCCTCTACCAAACAGGCAGATTCCATCTTCATGCCGTAATGCAGCATACAAAACAAATATATGATGTACGTCCGTGTCTGCACAAGCCAATTCATTTCCTATTCACATACGAAATGAAAACGTACAACGGCAGCTGGGACCCTGCTGTTCACGTGGTGTATAACACTCACTCACACACACACACACACACACATTAGTTGTATGCCCACTGGGATATTGCTGACCCATGATAACCAACAACTGTTTATGAAACCAAAACAAACATATGTGATAGATAGATAAACAAATAAGCAAAACAACATTTTGTGGCCTTACTATAATATGCACTCATTTTGTAGCCTAACAAACAAATAAACACACTCACATAAAATGATTATCCCCACAATTATGCACATATTAAAAGTTAAAATTACTTCATTAAAAGATTTGATTAGGATCTTCATTAAGAATTTGCTTGTGAGGTGCTGTTTACATTTGCTTAGTGGTTTATTTGGTTTTTATTAGTTTATATTTGCTCCTACAGATTCTTAATTTTCTAAAAAAAATATGGCCATAAAAGCCCTTGATGCCTAAATCTCAGGCATATGTATATACTGTACTAGAATTTGTTGAACTCTGGACCAAATTAAAAACAAGCACCAAAAGATGCCCTGATGATTCATTCTACTAAATTGCACAGCTATATTATCAGTGCATTTGCAAATGCAAGGAAAACAATATCATGGAGACTGGGGATGGGATCTTGACTATGGGGCCAATAAACAATCATCTAAGTTAATACTGCACTTTTTAAAAACAAAAAGATTCCACTAAAGTGTTTTCGTGATGCCATAAAAGAACCTTTTTTGGTTCCCCAAACAATCTTTTAGTGATCAGTTCTTAAAAGAACCATTTTTTTCTTAGTGTAAGAAACATTTAAAATGTTTAAAACTTTTTTTCACTATAAGAACCTTTTCCAAGGTTCTTCATAGACACATAGATAACAAATAAAGAAAATGTATTTTTAAGAGTGCACTTTCTGGTACATTGAAATGGTGAAAGTGTTCGCCAAAAACAAGTGTAAAAATTTGAATGTGTTAGTCATGGAGTTCAGCAGCTCTTGTGTTTTCCTGTTGTGCTCTGAGTCCAGCTGAGAACAGACCTGTCTGTCAAACCCACGCGCGCTCTATGGGAACAGGGAGATGTGGGCGAGTGGTGAACGGTGCAGCTATTTTAAACGTAAAAGCTCCCTCCTCCTTTCTGATGTGTTCTTTCATCCCTGATATGGACATAAAGGGGCTTTTCCCGTCCTGTGACAGAAGATGTTGAGCAGAATAGTGCTGTGTGTTTATGTGTTTGTGACATTCCCTCAGCCAACCAGTGCGTTTGTACCGAGAGGTCTCAAACTTTTCCTCAACAGGAAAGCAGTTCTGCCTCGCTCTTTAGTCTTAGAGTAACATTTAACCCTAAAATGAAAATTTACGTCATCATTTACGTTGTTCCAAACCAGACCTTCTGTCTTCTGTGGTACACAAAATGCAGAATTTTAGGGACTGACAACCGTATTCACCATTTACTTGCATTTAACTTTTTTCTATAATAAAAGTGAATGGTAACCAAGGTTGTGTGTGTGTGTGTGTGTGTGTGTGTGTTTCCTAAAAGCAGTTTAACAGATGCTGGTTATGTCTTGGTGTGTGTGAGTTTAGCAGGTTTCCAGTCTGGTGATGGGACGTAAAGCTCTGAATGCAGACTCAGCCTCCTGTCAGCCATTGTATTGGCTGAAGACTCTTCCTCAGTATCCAGCTGCTGGTCCCTTCTGTTCCCCTCCTCCTCTGAGCAGAGCCCATCCCCCTCTCCACCCCTCCTCCTCTCCCTCACTCCATATATTCATCTCCTCACCACTAAAAAAGGAATTGTGCCTCTCTCTGAGATTGCTGGTAAAGAGCGATAGAAAAGGGACTCATGGAAATGAGGAAATTACTGTAAGATCAGCAAGAGAAAGTCAAATAAATCTTCACATCATACCTCTAAAACATCATACAATTCTTTATATACCCATGAATGGTCTTTATACATCTGCAAATCAGGTTTTGAAGTGTTATTATAGAATTCTAAATGAGAATCTGTATGGAAAGTGAGCTCTAGCGAGGAATATCTCTTAGTTTTGCTGTCTTTGTCTCCTATAGCAGTCCCTTATATAAGAATTGTGTATTTCAGCATAGCTTGTTGTTAAAGATCCGTTCTATTTTGAGAGAACGGGATGCAAGCAGATGAGTGAGTGAGAAAGGAAGAGACAGAGAGGGAAAAGAGAAATAAAGAAAGAAGAAAAGGACAGGGGGAGGGAGAGAAGGCTTGGCAAAAGCTCACTTTCATTCAGCCTGACTTTAAACCTCTATTTAGGCTTGTGCCAAAATGTGGCAGGACTCGTGTCCTTCTGAGTGAAAGAGAGCTCACGTCCCCATTCACAGCTTTCTGCTGCAGTGCTAAAATTAAAACATCACAATAGCAAGCTTCTCTTCAATGGCAGACACAGTGAAGAAAAAACTGCGAGTCTTTGTGATTTGGCAGCCATATGTTTTGTGTGTAGTCTTCATATTACATGGGCTAAGGCCAGTGCTGATTCCTAGCAGGGTGGCTGATATAATGGAATTTAATGAAGGCAAATGTGATGTTCACAAATTGCACTTATTTTACAGCGAAGATGAAGATCTCACTAATAATAAGCATCAAAAGTTATAATTTATATTATTTAATATTTCAATAACACACACATATAAAGTAATATATGTAAAGAATATATATTCTTTTTTAAAATAATATAGGCTATACAGTGTATATTTTTCAACAAAAGGCGTGTTCAGTGACAACTTTTTTTTTCATGGACAGTTGTTTCATGGCAGCTAATACTTTAATGTATGCGTCAATATAGAATTGGGATTTCAAAAATAAACCCTGTGAAATATTTATTCAAGTTATGTGAAAGAGTCAGAGAGATCGTCACATTATCATTACATCATTGGACTATGGCATTATTTACAATTCCATTACGGTCCAAAATAATCCCGCTATTATTTTTTATAGTCTATATTACATTCATCTGATTTGCCTAATGCTGGGACACCTACTAATCAATGGGACGCGCACACGTGCTCCTGCTTGGTTACCACCTTTTTGATTGACAGTCGGGCAGCAGCACGCAGGCGTGGTGAGCGCTCCCGCAGACAGGGGGCGTCAATATGGCGTCCTGAGAAAGACAACACAGCCCGACACCGCACCGATCTTCGGCTGACATCGGGAGGAGAGAGGGACCGTTTCGCCAAACATAAGACGTGTGTTCGTCCTGTGCATCCCTCTGAACGCCTGCGAGCATCGGGTTTGGATGTGCACATCTCGGAGGGGGAGGACAGCCTTGTGACACCTGATCGAGAATTTTCCTTTTTCATCTGTGTTTGATGCTGCTGCTCAGTGCTCGGTGATACAAAAGCAGGTGAGACCGAGCCGACCGCTCCTTTTTGGGATTCGGGTCGGAAATGTCGAGCGAGAAACCGGTTTTGGCACCGGGTTCCGCCTCGCTCACGGACCGAGAAGCACCCACACCACCAGCAGCACCGCCGGGTTCGGGGCAGCAAGTCGTAACGGGCTCCGTTACCGGGGACATGATGGTGTCTGGATCGGGCGCCGTGGTTCTACCGGCCGGGGTGATAAACTCCTCGGTTCCGATCCGGAATATCAAGATGAAATTCGCCGTGCTCATCGGTTTGATCCAGGTCGGGGAGGTTAGCAACAGAGATATCGTGGAGACAGTTTTAAATCTGGTAAGCATTTGCATACAGTGTCTTGAACGCATGTTTTATTTAGCGCGCATGATGTCATATGGGAATTGATTTCTTGATCAAACGCACTAAAGCCAGAAATATTCCCCGGAGGAATGTCACCCTGTCTTTTGTTGACATCCCAGTCAGATTCATTACCATCAGCTTCGCTTTAGGCTGGCAAAATATCGTACTCATAACGTCATAATTCATTTCCCCAGCGTACTGTTACACAGTTGATGGCTGCGTTTATTTGCAGTGCCAAATGACCTGCAACCGGCCTGCAACAATGACTCGCCAAATAAGGGAAAACATATTTTCTTTTAGCGGAATATGCTGTTGGATGCATAATTCTTGCCTAGACGACATACTAAACATAGGTCTTATGTGATTAAACCCTATTTTTGAATATGGGTTCCGTTTTTGATATGTAAATATGACTGGTGGGTAGATGTTACGCGACGCAGCCATACGTGTCTTAATTCTCATAGATAAACAGCAGTGTGGGTGTAATTAATATTCAGAGCGCGTTAACGTGTTGTCTGTGATACTCGTTATTTTTAAGCTTTAATGGAATGCTGTTTGTGTTTGGGCACCTGTTATCCTCATCTGTGTCAGTACATGTTAGATATGGCTGCTGTTTTTGCTCATGGAGGCCAACAGGCTGGTGAGCGAGGTGGATTAAAGCGGGCTTTAACTGAGTTCTTGTTATGAAACCGCTTAGAAAACGTATTAACACAGATTCAGTAATGCGGGATGCTGGGAGGACCGTTGTTTTGAAGAAAGGGACGGCCAGTTTCTTTATCAATAATCGACGTCCTTATCAATAATTACAACCGGCTGAGCCAGGCCTCCTTAAAGCGGTAGTAGTGGAAGCAGGTTCCCAGCAAGCGCGAAACGTTTTTACATGTCACAGTGTTGCAGTCAGGGAACGTCGCAGTTAAAAAAAAAAAGTCTCAGAAACCACAACTCGAATAAAAAAAAAACAATATTGGTTCTTTACTATTAAAACAAATCCAAAATGGAATGTTTAATGCCCACGTTTCAATGAGATGAACGTCAAACGTTAGGCTAGTTTTTTTTTTTTTTTCAGTTTACGAACTGGCTTAGTTAACGTGTGAAAAATGGCAAATAATTCAACTAGGTAAATTGTGATTATTGATATTATTTCATTTTTGTGAATGGAAGGGGATGTTTGAATGGTTGAAAAAAAAAAACCGTTAAACAGAGTGCGTGCGCAGAGTTTGAAAGGAGGACACTTTTACCTCAGGACAGATTATATCACGTCTAAAAAGTTGTAAAAATGCCCCATGAGAATAATGTCTTGAAGACATTTAGGTGTAGGCTACCTACAGTTAACATTTTTAAGACACTATAGTGTCAGATCCTAAGTGGACTTGCTAGCAACCTCTGAACAATGTTTCTGCAACGTTGTCAAAACTTATTACGTTAAGCATCTCGACATCTGTAAAAACTTTATCGCAACCATTCCACGACGTAGCAAAACGTAAGCGTTCGATTTACGGTCACAATCTGTGCATACTGCAGCGACAGCCGTCGGTCACGGAGTTTCCATTGGATCGTTAAATTTAGAGTGCTCGGTGTTTAAAACACGGTAGTGGTGAGTCCGCTGAAGGGATGCTGCAGTAGTTGCTCTATGCCCAGGGATGCAGAGTTCCTGTAGCCGTGCATGTGGAAGTAGGTGGCGGCGGAGGAGGAGGGTGGGGGTTGCTGCAGTGGTGATGTGCTCTGAAACCTCGAGCCAACGCGATTTAAACTGGAGAGAGTAGCACAGCGGAGAGGCGCTTCCATCTCTCCCTGGCTGGAGCTGCTGGCGGGTCACGTGACCTCCACAGAGTTCGGTGTTTTAGTTCGGTAGGAATACTAACGCCAATTGTAGTGTATGCCGCGCTTTAGAGAATATGAATGCGGATGATGAGCATTTTAAACAGGTCACTTACCATCCACTCAGCTCAGCTCTTTTGTTTAGTTTTTTTGACATTTTTTGACCCAATTTAAATATAGAAATTGGCTTTTTTGCTTTCGGAACCGTTGTGAAATTGTCAAAAAATACCTAAACAATCACAATAGAACATTTTCATTTTTTAAATGATGAAATAGCCTAGATGTTTAAAAAATATCTAATATTTGTGGTCTTTATTACACCAGCTTGTCTATAACAAATTCTGACCTTTCAGTATTAGCATTTTAGCATATTATTCTATTAATCAAATTTGAACCAAATATACATATATTTTAATAAGATTTACCCCTCATATGTACGGTTCTGTATGATAGGGTACAATGGGGCTAAAGGCCCTTTGGATGTACCTACTTTTATCGTGAAACACTAACACAATAAAAACGCTACAGTACTTTCCTAAACATGGTGTACTGCAACAAATTGATTTGTATAAGTGGGGAGGAATAGATTGAGTGTGATGATGTGCTTTGTGGACCACATATTGACTGCTTCAGTCACAACGGAGATTTATTTGTGAAATGAGCATAAATAGTTTCAAAATACCATAGTGACTAAGATTATTGTTACTTCAAGTCGCCACAATCCATCAGTCAGTAATATTCTACATACACAGAAATTCTATATTTAATGTTGCAATAGTAATAATATCTGTATCAATTATGGTATTTTGGCAAAAAAGTACTTTTGTAAGGGAAAATGCTGCTTGTATATAACATTGTGCATTAGAGAAAGAGAGAAGCATAGCATAGCGTTTTGGCACAATGCCGATACACAACTGTAGGTAGGGTAGCCCTCATGTATTATTCAGCTTCGACTGAAACCGCGGCTTGTGCCTTAGTACAGACAATATCGATTGATGCTGAATGCCATTTAGCAGAGCAGATGTACCGATCACCTTAATTAATTGGCGATTCCACAAAAGGTCTTGGGATAGGTCTCATTCCTTTCTGTACTGAGACTCGGAACAAGATTCACCTTTGGTTTGGTTGTTCTCCTTTTGCAAGCATTTGAAGAGTTTGCATTAGTGGTCGACTGATATTGTTTTTTTGACAGCCGATGCCGATATCTTGGAAAGCAGGGTGGCCGATATAAAGCCGATATAATTTTAGTTATTTTAATTAATATTTAAGAAATTGGAAATCATTTGAAAATTTATTAAAAAATAAATGTGTTAAATAAACATACTTATACTTTAGATGACAAAGTATTTTCACAAAAAAAATAAATATTTAATAAAATATAATAATAATATAAAAGCAATCGTTATAAGACTTTTTGTATACATTTTAATTCCTTTGTTTAACAGTTCTATCGGATTATTAGACAGACTTCTATCCGTATTTAGACAGAACTGTTAACGACAACAGTGAACAAGAGGGAGAATGTGAGCACTGTGTGCTCAGGCGCTGCCGTTCTCAGCGCCATCAAAATAAAAGTCAGTCGCGCCGTCAAAATAAAACTCCAGCCTCGAACGTATCGGCCAAACAGGAAAACTTATTGGCCGATGCCGATATTTAAAAAATGACAAATATCGGCCATGGCGATATATCGGTCGACCACTAGTTTGCATATATGACGGATTGTTTTTATAGGCCTCGTTCCTGGCAGTTTCTCAAGGCTGAGGCCTAATTTAAGTGTGCTAGATTCAAAAGCCAATTTTTTCAGCATCTTTTTAAATTCAGACCAGAGAACACATCTTGTGGAGCACTGCTGTTAGAACCTGCATGTAATTAGACTCGTCCTCAACCTCGTGGCCTTACAGTGGTATGCCAGACATCCCCACCACCCAGCTTCAGAGCAAATGACACACACAGGAGGTGTTGGAAAAGAGAGGGCTGGTCTTGATCTGGCAGAGAGATGAAAGAGTGTCCTTTATGAGTGCACAGGTTCCAAAGGGGGGTTTCGCAGTGATGCCACAGAAGAACCATTCTGGGTTTCCCAAAGAACCTTTCAGTGAACAGTTCTTAGGAGAACCATTTTTTCTTAGTGTGATTGTCATGGACATTTTAATAAACTATAAAGAGCCTTTTCCACTATAAAGAACCTTTTTTGCAGTGGAAAGGTTCCATGTACGTTAAAGGTTCTTCCTGGAACCATAGATACCAATAAAGAACCTTTATTTTTAAGAGTGTGTGACCTTCTTCATGAGGGCAGTTATAATATGTAAGACAACATGCAAGCATGCAGACACACTTTAAAACACACATGCTCTAGATTATTATGAGTAGCCTAGCTACTAGATTTATTTTAAGACCCAGTTTCTTACTGTAATCCTACCGCTGGTCTATTTTCAAAGCACATCTGTTCTGTTTATGTATGTTGGGTCAGAGCATCTTTTATTTAGCGTGGATCACACGAAGACTTCCCTGACTGTATGCAGAGCTCACAGCTCCCTGTGGAACTGACATAGTTACTATTGTAGTCACAGCTGCAATCTTGCGGAGTTCACCCTCAGATAAATCAGGAAATGAGCTTCGTCTTTTTGCTTCTTGTACTGTATTACATTAATTCCAGTTTACTTTACATGGTTACTGGAAATATGTAGGATGCAATTATAATATTAGTGGCAATTTGGGTGCACGATGAGGGAGTTACAATGTTGTTTAGGATACAGTAATTTTATTTGCCTTTCTTTGATGCGTGGTCGTCCTTCACCTCCCGCCATTCACTTTCTCCTGTGAGAGGCACACTGAGCCAATCTGCTCACTGTCTGTCGTTTTTCCCCCCTCTCCTTTTCTTTCTCTCTCCTCACGTAACACACACACATGCACAGACTGCCACAGAGGGCCTGACGTTTAGACTCCCTTGCCATTAGCAAAGCATCATAGTTGCCATGGAAACGGCACCATGGGATTTTGCTGCTTGCTTCCCACCATACCAACTGTTGTCATCTCTACCCGGCCAACTGGATCAGTTTTGCGTTCTGGACAGGAGGATTACACAGTAGTTTATTTGACACTAAAGCTGCTGGCGTGGAAAGTAGTAATAAAAGTATTAATTT